AGCGGCGGCGGCCTCAGCAGCAGTTGCAGCGACCCAAGTCCTCCTGGGGAATCGCCAAGCCTGGACTCCCTGGAGTCGTTCTCTAACCTGCATTCTTTTCCCAGTAGCTCCGAGTTCAATAGTGAGGAAGGCGCGGAGAACAGGGTCCCCGAGGAAGAGGAGGGCGCGGCGGTGCCGCCCGGGGCTGTGCCTCTGTGCGTGGAGGAGGAGGAGGAGGAGGGAGAGGCGGCTCAGGTGCTGGCGGCCTCCAAGGAACGTTTCCCGGGACAGTCTGTCTATCACATTAAGTGGATCCAGTGGAAGGAAGAGAACACACCCATCATCACCCAAAATGAGAACGGCCCCTGCCCTTTGCTGGCCATCCTCAATGTTTTGCTTCTGGCCTGGAAGGTACATTCTGCAGCTTTCTATTAACCACTGGTTTTGGGGAGGGGGGAGACGGGTGAGGGAGCTGCTGCGTGTCAGCTGATGGCTTCTTCTTTTCTTTCCTTATTCATCAGCCAGTCCCTTTTTCTTCTTACATGAAACTCATTCTGAGACTCCTGTTGAAAGAATATTCCCGTATGTACATCAGAAAGAATTGCCGGTAACCTCAGATCTAATTAGAGTTCAACATTCAGTTGTGGCTGATATACTTGGAAGGACTTAGAGCATCCTAAACCCTTTGGGGTTTTTTTTTCCTTTTTCAGTTTTATTAGGTAGAATTATTACAGTTTGACTGCACATACATTATATTGCATGTAAATACATATATACAATATACTGCACTTTTTTAGTTTACGTATGTGTACTGATCATTGTTTCTAAGAACAAATTAGAGCTTTAGCTTTTTACACTTATGTAGTTATCCTTTGATTATTTTTAAACTATACTTTTCTATGTTATTCTTTCATACTGACTTTATCACCTATGTCAAAGAGTGAACAATTGGGGAAAATGATCTTCAGAAGTTACCATCAATCCATGATACCACGGAGCAAGTTTTGATGATTATGTTTAGTCTGTTTTCCAACTCATGCTTGCTCCATTTCGATATGGATCCTTATGGAAATGGTAATAGGGAAGATGTGGCCCCTTAGACAAATTCCATTTAAGGAAAAGTGATCGTCTGAGACCTAATTACCATAACTTCTTGGTTTTCAAAGATTGTTTTTATTTTATGCATGATTTTTACTTGCCTCATTTCGTTGGCTGTACTTAGTTAGACATTACCAGTAACCACACATCAGAATGTGTTAAGGGAGCTATTCCATAACAACCAGAATAAGATTAGATATATCCCACTTAAAAGAGCAAAAAAGGGAAGGGCCCTTCCAAAGTAAGTAAATTGAGGACTCAGGAGTGAATTACCCGTAAATTTAGTGTCTTATTTAAACTTGAAGTTTTAACTGGCTGAGAAGATGCATCTTAGAGCACATATTTTACTTTCAAATTGAGAATTGTATCTGTAGATAAAATGTTCCCTAGAAAAAAATAAGCTGGATTATTGTGACCAGTTAGGAAGAAAATCAAATAAAGGGAATAGTATTTAAGCCCCTTCATTCTTTACTAGCACAGGCTGATGCAAAAGGAATAAGATTAGAAATATTACCAGATCGGGTACATAGTGGCACTCATATGTTTTAAGTGCAGACCATGCCTGCTCCTGAAGAGCTGTCGAGTTATTGGGAGTTGCAGCATTTGACTTCTTGAAATTATTAAAGAACAATGCAAGACAATATTCTATAAATACTAGGTTATAGGAAACAGATTGAAATGCTTTAGATATCCCAAAAGGGGAAATTTTCATTTGGTCTGGCTTAGTCCCAGAGAGCTTCATGGAATTTGTGGATCTTGAAGGAAGCTTTTAAGAAAAAATAGAACTTAAAATAACAGGAAAATGTAATTCCTGGGAGAAGAAAGGGTATAAACAAAAAGGATGAAAATAGAATGGAGTGAGTGTGTGTGTGTGTGTGTGTGTGTGTTTGTGTTTGTGTTGGATGATAAGAGTGATAAGTCTGTATTACAGAATAAAAGAAAATAAGATTGAAAAGGTAAAGAAGAGCCACTTGATGAAGGCCCTTGAATGTCAGACTAGGGAGTTAGACTTCATTCTATGAGCCAAAGTCCCAGCCTTTTTGTAGGAAGGAATAACGGTTTCCTTTAGGCTCTTCTCACTTCCTACTTATCTATATAGTACTGCAGAAGTTTGGAAGAAAGAGCAAGTACTGTGGTCTCGAATATTTGGGGATAGATGAGATGGGCATTGAACTGACTCTTTGAAAGACATGGCTTCAAGTGAATGATCATATGTTTGGGTTCCAACTATATGTGAGGTACTAGAAATAAAAAGATGAGTAAGATGCAAGTATGCCCTTATGTAGCTCAGTCTTAATGGGGAGACAGACATGTAACAGTAATCACAGTGTGCAGAAGTTCTAAATATGCTGTGGAATTACAGAGAAAAGTGTACTTGGGGATGGAATGTGTCAAGGGAAAGCTTCATAGAAGAGGTAGCCTCTGAACTGGATCTGAAAGATGAATACGAGAAGTTCCTTCCAGGCAGAGGGAATGGTATATTCAAAGATACTGAAGCAGAAAAAGATTTGTTCTATTTGGAAACACCAGCCTTGGCTGGACTACGGTGGAGGTGAAGGAAATGGCAATAGCAGGAAATAAAGTTGATGTGTTGGGTTAGACTGTGAATGAGCAGGCATGCTAATGAATTCTGAGATTATTTTATAAATCTTGGTTCTTAGCCTTCTTTCTGCCTCCAGGCTATTGATGCATACAAAAATTACTCATCACTAATCATCAATGATTGATAAGGAAGTGGATTAATAGGAGCAGGGTTGGAAAGAGCAGTGTTCTCAAAGTGAGCCAGGGGTTCTAGAGGTCAGAGCTATTTTCATAATAGTACTGGGATGTTTTTTCCCTTTTCCACTCTCATTCTCTCACAAGTGTCAATACAGGCTGCATGATGTGTGTTGACATCATTGCTCTGACAGTTAGTGGAATGTGTGCTCATGCATTCTTGTGTTTAAATTTTTTTTCAATTTTTATTTCCAGTGTGGTAAGTGTTAATAGATGTAACCCACTTAAACAAGAGCTCTTTGGGATCCTCAATAATTTTTAGAACTGAAGAGGTTCTTGAGACCAAAAAGTTTGAGAAATGCTATAGTAGCAAAAAATAGTAAATAGGATATGAAGGTAGTTGTCAGATTTCAAAGGACTCATTTCCAAGCATGTCTAGACTGTCTGTATCACTGATAATAGGGACCTATTATAAATTACTGGTTAGAGGAATGACACAATGAAAGTGGTCTTTTTATCTGGAATTAGACTAGAAGTGAAATTGTAGTGAGTGTAGCAAGAAGAATCGATGAGTATAGCTTTTTTGGATGGAGAATTCTTTGCTCCTTCTCTTTAATGAGGATGATGTCACAGCCTGAATGATGAAGTGATTACTAACTGGATATAGGAAATGAAGGAGATGACAGTTTTTCTAACCTGGGCAAGAGAGACTGGTTGAGTCACTCAGAAGATAGGGTGTTTTAGATGGGAAAGCTGATGTCAAAGTTTGGTTATGTCAGGTTGGAAATGTCTGTTAGTGGGACATAAAAATATAAATGCTTATTATGCCTCTAGAAGCATGGACTGGGCCTCAGGAAAGAGTCTACGATTATGAGAAAAATTGAATTGGGAAATTATTGCATAGATGTAAGTATGGTATTCATGAGAATAAATGAGTTCTCCATAGAGAGTGGTGAACAATAGTTCTAACATTTTGCCATCCTGGTATACATGAGGAACTACAAATTGCCAGCATAAACATCCTGCCTATCCTCCCTCTATTTTCCCCACTGCCTTTTCCATCCCATTCTCCAGTAGACGTAAAGAAAATAGAGGAGTAAAGATTAAAGTTGGTGGGGAGAGGGTGATGTTAAGGCCAAGAGAGTGTAAAAGAGACCAATACAGGCACAATTTGAGATGTAAACAGAACTAGAAATAGGACAATGTCATGATAGTAGTCTGGGAGAGAGACTCTAATTAAAAAACAGTCAGTTATCATTGTCAAATGCAATAGCATCAAGGAACTTGTAAAGAGGGAAGACTGCCAAAAAGGACAGGTATCAGGACAAGGTCGCTGAAAAGTCAGGATAACAGGAATAACAGAATAGGTGGTAAAATTCTCTTCAGAGGAAAAGAACAACAATCTTTTTTTCTGAAGTAATGGAAGGAATGAGTCAAGGAAGATACAAAGACAAGGTCATGTTAAGGTGGAGGGGCAGATGGAAAGTAAGGCTTCATTATCGGTTTGGGCAGAATAGTAATTGATGTCATCAGTGAAAACTATTGAACTTGTCAGTAATTAAGGAGAGGTTGTGAAGCATCGAGGGGTGAATTTTGTGAGAAAATTAAGTTGTATTTTATAGAAGTTCTAAACTCACTGGAAATTATGCCTAGTAATTTGAGGCATAAGGAGAAAGTAGTAAGTGGCAGTAGGTAAATCAGGGTATTCTTTAAAAGCTTCTAGTATATCAATTTTTGGGCTTTCCCCAGTATTTCTCTTATCCCTGGAGATAGGAACAGGAAGAGTTGCTGGTTAGGATTATCATGGATTGGACTTTTCAAGAGTTGATTCATGGAGTCATTGGAATTAGAGTTGAAAGGAAAACAGTTGATCATCTCTTTTGGAGGAGGATGAAGTAATGATAAAAAAAAATAATAAACTAAATATATTAAGAGGATTTGAGAGATTCAAAGGAAGTAAGTGCCATGGTTCTGAGTAAGAGATGACAGTTAAAATTATCAAAGAGGGTAAGTACTGAGTTGGAAATGTTGGGGTTTTAATTAAAAGTGTTGGTTTAGGACTAATGGGTAGTCGGTGATCGTTAATAATCTATAAAATAGTTGAGCTGTGATAATCCAACAAATCAAGAAAGAAGGAAATCTATTCATTAAATTTAATTCAAGCTCACATTTCTAATTTTGTTTAACTGTCACCAGGTAAATATACACACATTTATGTCTTGGAATACATTTCATTTTGCTTCTTTAGACTATTTTTGGTGTATTTTATGGTTTTCCTTTAATCTTTTATTCTGTTAAAAACAATGACATTTATAGGTATATTTGAGAGCTGTGACCCAATTAATCATTTATTTATAAAAATCACTTGTTTATAAAAATAAAACAAGTCAGAAGAAATATAAAATATAAAATTTACTTTCTAATGATACTGGCCTATGTTATAAATGTTGAAACTGAATGATGGGTACTTGTAAGTTGATTATGCTGTTATTTTTCTACTTTTGCATGATTTAAATTTTGCATTATGAAGCATTTTTAAAAACTTCTGCCTTAATACTTTTTTTAATTGAAGTATAGTCAGTTTACAATGTTGTATC